TCCTTTCTGTTTTGCGAAGAAAAGGAGCTGAACATTTTCTTTTGTATTGATTTCCCCTGTATTCGTTTTTAATCATTGCCTTCTTTGTATGTATTGCTTTGTACAATATGGCAACACATGTTATGTGTCAGTTTGCAACCATGTGTTATTGTAAATATGCGTGAAATTCAATGTAATTTACAAGTCGATAAAAGTTTAATTAAAGTTATTTATATACAAGATAAAATAAAAGAAAAGTGAGTAAAGTATTAAGTACAGTGTTATGTGCATTTATATATATAAAAGTATGCACAAATGCTTTTTTGTTAAGGAAACCAAGTGGAACGACTTAAGAAATTTTAACAACAAATAACTTATAAACAATGATATTATTTATATTTTTTAGTTATACGTTTTAGAGGATACCTCCCTTAACAACCTGACCAAGTTTAATTTGCTAATTCCACCTGGTTTTCTTAAAACACAAGGTGCGGCTGACTACTAAAGCCCACCCGTAGAATCCTCTTTTCTTTGTTGCCGAAGAAAAGGGGCTGAACACGTTTTGCAGGGAACCTTGTGCGTAGGCGGCCTTCGGCCGCGCTTAGGGATTATAACCCTCACTAAGTAGAATTTTCTTTTCTGTGTTGCCAAAGAGGGGCTGAACACCTTTTGCAGACATATTTCGTGGATATTTTCTGTTTTTCCAACCAACATTATTAATAAATTAGTGCACAGGTATAGCAAATTTTATTTTTGTAATAACCCCGCAAACATATTCTGAGCGTTCAGAATATATGAGTCCGAAAGGTGTCCTAGGTAGGTAAGAAATATGAGTTTCAAAAACAAAAAATTTTTTACTCTTATATGAATCTTTTAGGATTCATATATGAGCCAAGTTATGAGCCAGCACCTTGTGCCAATATAAAAATAATAAAGATTTGAAATTTATATCTAAACTTGTTTATACAGAATTGAAAATAATTAGAAAACAAAAAATGAACAAAATTTAGCTTCAGCTGCTGCTATTGAATGCATGTTGGAATGTGTATATGCATGTAAGTGTGTATGTATGTTATTTGCAAGGACTTTTTGCGGAATGCCTTTGCAAATATAGTGAGTTGAATAAGACTCAAAGAGCAACCTAAAATAAGAGTCCGAATGTAGCAATTTATGAGGCCGATAAGGGTCTCAAAAAGAGTCATATATGAGGCCAAAACTTGTTTTAAAAGAGTCCAAAATGAGCCGTATATGAGGCCAATACGAGTCCAATATGACTCATATTGAGGCTCATTTGATGTATGAATTTAAGCTCATATAAGTCGACATTCGTAGGAAGGGAAACACACTCATATCGGACTCTTAAATGAGCTCAATATGAGCGTATTTGCTCCGAAATAGGACTCCTTAAAGACTCATTTATGACTCCAAATGTTTACTGGGAAAGCGTGAACTGTTGTTTACAAGTGTGTGTAAGTTTTTTTGATTCGAATTACGCGTTTGGGCACAGCACCCCAAAATCGTTGCACAAATATTCAACAGTACCCCAAACCGGAATTTCGGAAGAAAAAGAGATAGAGCCTTTCTATATGTAAAACAATTTTAATATGAGATAAAGTAATTTTACTTACCCAGATAGGGCATTCCGAAATTTGACTATAAGGGTATCTTCGACGATTCGGTTATTTATTTCCAAGAGAATCATGTTAAAACCTCAAATTGTATGTGACCAATGCGCGTGAATGGAAGTTACTCAGATTCACCTTTCAGCTTGGCGCTAAGATTATGGATGTATATAACAATCTACTTCTCCTTTTTTATTAAAAATCAGTAATTTCATACAATTCTTTTTTGTGATTACGCACACGTCGATGAAATGGTCGGACATTGGTCGATATAGCTGCACAACTATCGAAAGCTCTATAGATAGTATCGATAGTGTCAATTTGACAACGCTATCGATGAATGATAGCCGCTATCGCTATATCGGAAACCTTCAAATACAAATAATTGACAAAAACCAACAGTGAGACCTAGCTACTTCAAATCATGATACACAAAAGAAGGTAGTTCCACTTAATGACATTCGTTGTTGTTGTTAACCATTTGACTTTTAATAAAATTGTGACATTTCATCAAATTCATGCTACCTGATCACAAGAAAATATTTTTTTGAAAGCAGAAGAATTTATCAGTACATTCAAAGATGTGGAATATGATGGACTTTAAAATTATACCGCCTACATAATTTCGAAAATGGGGTTGATGACTAGGGTTCAGAACGCATGAGGAAAGTGGTCAAAATTATACTTACATATCGTCGTTTATACTGCGTTCAAATTGGCCCCGTTTAACTTGTTAAATGAAAAAGAGCTTTTTGGAAAACACAATCGTCCACATTGAACATTTGGAGTTAACCTTGACGGTTGTTTGATTACCAATAACAATTCGAAACAAATATTCAAAATCAAGTGTTTGTGTTTCAATTTGTTTTGTGCGAATGTCTGCTTCTTGATATTAACGCATACGGATAACTTAGAGACTTCAAAATGTTTAGTTCGTATGCACTATTTATCTCTGCGTACGATGAGACCTCATGGGAAATAACTAATTACCGCCTGGGCCTCTTTTTAGACAGGCATACATGCATACAATTATGATATTTTTTGATAATTTTTAATTTTTAATAATTTCCTGGATATACATTTTTTGAACGTTGGCGTGTCAAATGAAAGCTTTTGGCTCTTTCTGATTGGCCGGAGCAGAAAGCTTTCTGATACAACTCTGCGCTGAACTGGTTTTCAAACGAGTTAAAGATTTAACCGGTTAAATTTTCCAACAACAATTGCATGGGATTTAAATAGTTTATGAACTTCTTTTGTTCATTTAACTGGTTCAAGCCCATTTAACATGTTTAGCTCGTCAATTTGAACGTAGTATTAAAGTACAAAACCGCGTATCGTCGTTCTGCAAAACCGCGTAACTGACATTTTTTGCCAAAAATTGGATTTTCTCACACAAGCTCTTGGCTCGAGCCTTATCCATCCGTCCAGAAATATGCTAGCAAGAAATGCGATTGCTTTATAAAAAAGATAATAATTTTGAAATATGAGTGTTTTTACTCTCTAGGAAATAATTTATACAACTTCACATACGCAGTTTTGCATTTTGTTGATACGCGGTTTTGTACTTTATACGACGATATGTTAATTGTTTATTGGAGGGTGGTCTGTTTATGCCGACTTCAGGTTTTTTGCATACATTAGAAACTTTAAGTTCAAAATTTGTGAAAGCTAATTTGTTGCAAAATCTGATGAGAAAATTAAAAGTAAATTTAAACCAAAATATAAAAAGGTTTTATTTGGGAAGAACATTCTTAAGAATTAGATTTTTAGATCGCATGATTGCATTCAAAATAAGAAAACGAAAAAATAACAGCATAATGCGCGCGTGGTTTTTATTATAATATAAAAAGAACAATTACGATGAAGTCTTCTTTAATAGTCTATATTTTATATATTTTGAATAAAAAATAGTGAGAGCTACGTAAGTAAAAGAAGTACCAAGCACTGATAATGGTTTTTGATTTGAAATATTACAACGTTGGTGTTTAGGCCTTAAGCCTAAATATTTCCAAATATAATGCACCACCCTAATGTGTCATTCACATATGTGGACATTTATGCATGCATACTTGTACACATGTACGTATATTATATATTC